CCTTCTCACTTGAGCAGCAGAAGCAATAGTTCAAAGCAGTTAAACATTGAGGCAATCAAATAATCATTACCATTTTTTAAAATAATACTAAAACTCAAAGATTTACTGATAAGTTAATTCTCACCTTTGTAAGTTATTATAAAAGTACAGCTCATTGTTCTTATATGAATTTGATCATGAGCAGTAAAATTTGGAGTTTCACTGTTTTATTGAAACCAGAACATTTTCGGTGTGTCGCTCTTTCCGACCCTCTTTTACACGTGTGATGAAATGCCATTTCAAAATACATTTTAAAATTTGTCAATAGCTTTGATGTCATTACTAAATTTGTCCAGATTTGAAACATGGTTATTTTAGTAAATAATTAAATATCTGAAAAGTGGGCGTTAAGACCGAATCCATGGCTGAAAAAGAAAAATTACGACAATGCAGAAAAGGAAAATTTCAATAAATTAAAACAGGAAATATATTAATATGCATTAAATTACCTGTCAAATTCAACCAGGTTTTGAATTTAACCATGGTTGGGTAGCCTCCCCAAGATGACAAAATAAAAAGTCGGGCTACAAAGCCCAATAAAACCGCCCAAAAACATGAAAAGAAACTCCTCTTTATTTTATTACTCCATATTATATAACAGCTGTTATCCTATGCATTAGCATATTTTGTAACTCTTCAAGGCTTTCACAAATATTTTCTGATCCTCTTTCTGTTCAACAAAACTGGTTGAACCATTTATATGAGGGTGAAATTCAACAACAGTTGCTCACTCTAAGCGGTGTTACATTACTCAAAGCGATTGATATACAGGTTACTTTTCATTAAACTAGTTTTTTAATGTTTTGATCAGATTCTGTTTTCTCTGTCATCTGAAATATATGTATCTATCTGTAGTTGTAAAGGCAAAAAGTCTCTATTTTTTCAGGTTTCAAAATTTTATGTGCTGAAATTCGATTTATTTACAGACCAAGAGGTTTAAGGTAAACTTTGCTGCAATTCTTCATTTTTCATTTTGAATTTACATTTCATTTAACAATGTGTGTTTTAATGCCTAATTCTATGTATAGATGTGCATCCGTTGAATTTTACTATGTTTAAGATTTTTTCCCAGGATGCTTTAACTTTTCATGAACTTTCCACTTGTTGTAGGAGCCTTTTGAAATTTGGGGTGGTGACGTTTATTGATTTTAGAATTTAGATTTATCTTATAGAACGCTTGTAAAAATTGAATTTCAATCTCTATGTGAAGAATTGAACGTTTGTTATGATTTTGAGTCGATATCACTTTAATTGAGATCATCTTAAGAATATGACGAAGATTTGATGGATCTATACAAGTGTGTTTATTTAAAAGGACTAGGAGATTTATGATCTAAAACATGCATTGAGTATTTACCATGATAGTTCAATTACCATTTCTACATTAATATGATTCTATCTAATATAGGAAAAATAATAAAAGCATACACACTTCTTTTAAAAAAATCTGCAAGTTTGATTAAGTGGTTATATAATTATGATCATAACCATTCTAGCTTTATCAAAGAGTATTTATTAAGTTTCTACTTTATAGGTGAAGCAATTATTTTCTTTCTGAACTTGCTAAACACCCATCAACTTCTTCATTTTCTCATAAGCATTTCATCAACATGTTGTTTCTTTTCCATGCATTTTTTGTCTATTTGTTAGTGTTTGATTTTAATCTGTTAACGGAACTTTCCCACCGTTGTTCAAGTTTATATTTGATTATATGGTGCCTTCTTGGGACCATATTCCACCTCTAAAACGCCTTTAATTTTTTTTTTCTGAAAACTACTTTTTATCTGCAAATGATATTGTCATGTCACGTTTCCCGTTTCAATGCATCATAGGAAACTATGGAATAGAAATATCAAAAAACATTGGAGGAAAGAAAGTAATTTCGGGGTAAATAAAATAATAAAAACATTGATTGATAATCCAGAAATTAATTTCTATTTTTTGTTTGAATTCATTCTCGCAGCATCTTACGTGGTCCAAACATAGCCTTAGTCTCTCCAACGAAGTCCTTAATCAGAAATGGAATGCTATAAAGCGGAAGCCTTCAGGGAAAAAGAAATTGCAGAAAAGAAGGTGTTAGAAAAGGACTTTGCTGGAGCCCGAGTGTCGGCACTGAAAGCCCAAAACCTGTTTCCTGGCCTTAATGGTCTCAGCGAACTTCTTGACGTGATCAACATCTATGTCAACATTGAAAAGACCACCAATGGCGAAGTTGACTGGTATGCTGTCCTTGGAGTGGATTCTTTAGTTGATGATGAGAAACTGAGAAGACATTGCGCAAAAATGGCTACATCAGTACACCCGGACTACAACCACTCTTGTGGGGCAAATGGTGCGTTCAGGATAATCATGCAAGCATGGAGTATGTTTGCAGATCATGCTAAGAGAGCCACTTATGATAGACGACGGCGAAGGCTTGCTATGGCGACTTCTCGGAACGTCTTCCGCAAATCTCATGCTACCAGTAAGGTCCAACTGACATCCATTCCACCACAACCACCAAAGCTATGCTTGCCAGGGAGAAACACTTTTTGGACTAAATGCAGTTGGTGCAACATGCAATTCCAATACTCAACAGTCTACCTCCACAAACTTCTTATATGTGTCCGCTGCCATTCGTCCTTTTTGGCAACTGAGGAAAGATCAGTTTTTGGGCAGGCATTCCCAAGCTATCCTTCTTCTGAGGTAAAATTCTTTCCAACTCCTTCGCTTATGAGGGAAACACCGCCTGTGCTGTTTCCTGAGCTCAATGCAATAAGCTGTCCTAATATTTGCGACCGTGATAGTAATGGTTCTGCAACAGTGCCTTCTTTTTCTGCTCAAGCAAATGAAAAGGCTTTGAACAGAAAGAGAAGGATGGATGAACGGAAGTTGAGTATTGACAGAAAAAGAAGGACGATGGCTCAAATAATAGCGACTTCAACAGCTGGGCCTTCTAGCAAAAGCAATGATAAAGCAAAAACTTCCAAACAGAAATTATCTCACTCAGATGTGCATAATGTGTTAATAGGCAAGGCCGTATTGGAAATAAAAAAGAAGTTGGATGAATGGAAAGTCACTAATGATGAAGTTGGAGAGAAAGACGACACTGGCATGAAGAATGAGGTTCTTCATACAAAACCAGAAAATGTTCTTGAGACGATGACCGTTCCGGATTCAGAGTTTCATGATTTTGATAAGGACAGAATGGAAGACTCGTTTGAGGATAATGAAGTCTGGGCTGTATATGACTGTGATGATGGAATGCCCAGGTACTATGCCATGATTAAGAAGCTGCTGTCTAGAAGACCGTTCAAGGCATCCATCAGTTGGTTGAACTCCAAGAGCAACAGTGAACTAGGACAGATGAAGTGGGTAGTTTCAGGATTTACAAAGACCAGTGGGGATTTCTGGATAGGCAAGTCTATGCTCAATGCTTCAGTCAACAATTTCTCCCACCAGGTTAACTGGATAAAGGGCTCCCGGAGAGTCATCAAAATCTACCCATGTAAAGGGGATGTTTGGGCTCTATACAGTGAATGGTCGCCCGAATTGAATGAGTTCACCCCTAACAGTGTGGTTCACAAGTATGAAACAGTTCAAATCCTTGAAGAGTTCAATGAGGATGGAGTTGCTAGAGTTGTCCCGTTGGTCAAAGTGCATGGCTACAGATCAGTGTTTAAGCAGCATGAGGACCCCAGCAAAATCCGGTCCATCCCAAAAGAAGAGATTTTTAGACTATCTCACCAAATCCCGAAGTATGTCATAACTGGTATGGAAGGTCCAAATGCTCCCTCTGGGGGGTTTCTCGAACTCGACCCTGCTGCTCTGCCACCAGAACTTCTCCAAATTATTGATGATGATAAAGAGAAAGAAGCAGAAATGGGAACAAATGCTCAAGAGTCCGAGGTTGTTGACAACCGCTTTCGTTTGACATATTTTAGAAAACAGAAAAGAATAGATTCAGCTGTAATAAATATTAAGACCGACCAATGAGGTCATGCCACCTAATCCATTATCCAAGCGAACCAATCAAGCCTCTTTTGTTATGCCAATCAAGCTCAGGTACATAAATAGAACAGTGATGAACTGATAAATCTTTATGTCAGGTGCCCATGAAATTTTGGTAGAAAATACCTTAAAATTACACTGCATATATAAAAATTTTGTTTCTAAGTTCCTATGTAGTGTAGCATGAAAGTTCGTACACATTCCATTTATATTTAGTTCCTAAGAAATAAGAATGAAAGTTAATTTTGGATTTCGTCTATATTATGTTTGGGTAATATTTCTGCTTCAAAATAAAAAAGCATTGTCATATAAATGCTCATAGTTTTCTTGTGCTTATGTTTGAATTATATATGTAGTTACAGATAAGTGGTCAGAGTGTTGGATTAGAGTTTCAATTCACTTTCTTGTCTCCATAAAAATCATAGCTTATTTATATGTAATATGTGTTAGGTTTGTTGCTCAAATATAATAGGGTTCACAAAGAAAGCCAGAACTAGCTTCTATCTATTTTTTCAATGTAACTATCAAGTAAATAGAATGTGATGAGCATTACAATATGTGGAGATATTAGAATATTTGGTTGATTATAATGAGATTTGTTCTGATCATGATCTGATTTCCTAGAATCAAGTAGGAGATTTGTATTAATTAGAAGATCTTATACATAATTACTCTTTCCTTTATTAAGTTAGCCTAGGCCTATAAATTGTATTTAGCTTCTGTATTTGCAATCAATTAATAAAACTCCATTCTTCAACTTGGTATCAGAGCGTCCCGATTCTAGGGGCTCTGCTTCTGCACGCAAACACAAAAAACCCTTTCTTTTTCATCACAAAATTACTGCCAGAAGGCTGCTCCTCTAGGTTTTGTTCCAGAGGTGTTTTTTTTCTTCTTCTTTGAAACTGCCACTTTACTATGCCTGATCTCGCAGACAAAACTCTTTCTCTTCCACCATTGACCCACAATGACCTCCCGATATTACAAGGGTCATACCGGTTAGATGGGCGCAACTACCTTCAATGGGCCCAGCTTGTTCGTACCACTCTTAGAGGACGCAAAAGAATTAGTCACATCGAAGGCAAAGCCCCTGCTGAGACAGATCCACACTATGAAACATGGGTTGATGAGGATTCTCTCATTATGACCTGGTTTTGGCACTCTGACTCCGGAGGTTAGTAGGAATTATATGTTTTTCGCAACTGTTGGGGAGATTTGGAAGAATCTGGCAGAAACATATTCCATGAAACAAGATCTCTCAGCATGTTTTGAATTGGAAAATAAAGTCTTTAATACTAAGCAGGGAACTCTCTCTGTAACTGACTATTATGGCACTCTAAATGGTCTCTGGATCGAATTAGATCAGTATCAAAGTTTGACAATGAAGTGTGATGAAGACTCCACTGCACTAACCCAATTTATTGAAAGAACACGGATATTTAAGTTTCTCTCTGGGCTCAACTCTGAATTTGATCCCATTCGGGTTCAAATTTTTGGTAATAAGAAACTGTCATCTCTTTCAGAAGTCTTTCATACTGTTCGTGGTGATGAAAGTAGGAGGTCGGTGATGATGGAAGAGAAATCAGTTGATGGTTCAGCTTTAGCCACCGGAAAGGGTTCCATACAAGGATCCACTTTGAGAGGCCCCATTTTGAAGTCCAACAGTGAAGATCGATGGTGCAGTTACTGTAAAAAATCTGGTCATTCAAAGGACACATGTTTCAAACTGCATGGAAGGGATAAAGTCCTTGGACGTATAAGCGGGTCCAAAAATATTGTTCAGAGACGTGCAAATCACACTGTTTCTAATCTGAAATTGAAGGCAATCCACCTAGTTCACCCACAGAAGATATCCCCGGCCTTAGCAAAGCAGAACTTGAGCGCCTAAGAGCACTTATGGACTCCTTGAGTACACCCACTGGTAATTGTTCTCTAACAATGACTGGTAAGAATTCTACCTTCTTATCTTTTGATGCTTTGAGTACTGATCATAGTTGGATTATTGACTCTGGTGCTACAAATCACATGACACCTCACATCTCACATTTATCTTCATATTCCACTTTACCAAACAAACACCATATCACTGTTGCTAATGGATCCCAAACTCCCATTACTGGATGCGGTAACATCAACCTGAATTCATCTCTTCACCTTAAGCATGTGCTTCATGTTCCCGGGCTCTCTAATAACCTTTTGTCTATCCACAAACTCACCAAAGATTTAAACTGCGCAGTAACTTTCTTTCATTCCCATTGTGTTTTTCAGGATCTTGCCACGGGGAAGACGATTGGAATTGCTAAGGAACGGGACGGGTTATACTCTCTGCCGTATAAGGAAAGTATTTGTCATCAAGCGAGTTCAGAACCTTGGAATTCCTCTCAAATATGGTTGCATCACAAACGTCTTGGGCATCCTCCCTTTAAAGTTGTTCGGGCCATGTTTCCCCATTTATTTACAAAATTGTCAGTTGAGTCTTTTCACTGTGATGTATGTCAATTTTCCAAACATCATCGTTCCACGTTTTTTCCTAGTAATAATAAAAGTGCCCAACCTTTTGATTTGGTTCATTCTGATGTTTGGGGACCGTCCGTTTCAAATATTTCTGGTGCAAAATGGTTTGTCACTTTTATTGATGACTGTTCTACGATTACGTGAGTTTTTCTTATGAAAGATAAATCAGAAGTGTTTCAACTATTTGTTAATTTTTTCCACATGGTTCAAACCCAATTTGGAAAACCTATCAAACGGTTACGGTCAGACAATGGGAAAGAATATGTAAATCGGAACTTTTCTGATTTTCTGAAACAAAATGGTGTTGTTCATGAATTGACTTGTGTTGACACCCCACAACAAAATGGGGTTGCTGAGCGGAAAAACCGTCACCTTTTTGAAATTGCTAGAGCATTACTCTTTCAAATGAATGTTCCCAAGTTTTATTGGGGAGAAGCTGTGTTGACCGCTACTTATTTAATCAATAGGTTACCATCTAGGGTTTTATCTGGTGTTAGCCCTATACATTTTATAAATAATTTCTTTCCATCAATGCCCACTATGTCAAGTCTCCAGAGTCGTGTTTTTGGTTGTTCTGCATTTGTTCATGTTCATGGTCCTCATCGAAGTAAGTTAGACCCCAGGGCTCTTAAATGTATCTTTATAGGATATGCACCAAATAAAAAAGGGTATAAGTGTTATCATCCTTCTAGTCGTCGTGTTTATATATCCATGGATGTCACTTTTCTGGAAACCGAATCTTTTTATCCTAATTCTCAGGTTCAGGGGGAAAGTAGACAGGAAGTTGAGTCCCCTGAGTTTCCTATTCTTCCTTTAATACATGTACCCTTGAATTCACTTCCTATTCCTGCCCCTAAGGACAGTGATGCTACTGATAATGGTTCTGAACAAATACCAGTGCACAATAATGATGACAGGTACCATATAAAGTACCAACGAAAAGCTAAACCCGTCCTAATCCATCAGCAAGACCAATCGTCTGACCGTGAGGTAAGTACTCACAACCTCGAGCCTAATAATTCGTGTTTAAATGCTCCTAACTCCGAGCCTAACAAATATTGTGAGCCAAACCCTGATGACCAACCCATTGCGTTGAGAAAGAAAAAACGATCTTGCACCAAGTACCCTATATCTCAGTTTGTGTGTACTAAGAATCTTTCTGCCCAACACCAGAGTTTTCTTTTAGCTATCGACTCTATTAGAGTCCCTACATCAGTACAAGAAGCTTTAAAAAATAAGAATTGGATTCAAGCCATGAATGAAGAGATGCATGCACTAGAAAAGAATAAAACTTGGGAGATGGTTGAAAAACCAAATAACAAAAAAACAGTAGGCTGTAGGTGGATATACACAATTATATACAATATTTCTTCGTATATGCCAGTTATGACATATTACGGGATTTGGTGAGAGTCTAAAATTTCTTCTTTAGGGATGGACCGGATTCTGCCGGGGTCCTCATGCTGCTTAAACACTGATCTGTAGCCATGCACTTTGACCAACGGGACAACTCTAGCAACTCCATCCTCGTTGAACTCTTCAAGGATTTGAACTGTTTCATACTTGTGAACCACACTGTTAGGGATGAACTCATTCCATTCGGGCGACCATTCACTGTATAGAGCCCAAACATCCCCTTTACATGGGTACATTTTGATGACTCCCCGGGAGCCCTTTATCCAGTTAACCTGGTGGGAGAAATTGTTGACTTAAGCATTGAGCATAGACTTGCCTATCCAGAAATCCCCACCGGTCTTTGCAAATCCTGAAACTACTCACTTCATCTGTCCAAGTTCACTGTTGCTCTTGGAGTTCAACCAACTGATGGATGCCTTGAACGGTCTTCTAGACACCAGCTTCTTGATCATGGCATAGTACCTGGACTTTCTAGAAGTGTTTCTTACAACAATTATCGGCCAAAGTATTTCATCAGCAGTCTTTCCGCTTTTAGTCCTCTAATTACTATGACATCTATTTCGAGATTTGTTGAGATAGTCTAAAGACCTCTTCTTTCGGGATGGACCAGATTTTGCTGGCGTCTTCCTGCTGTTTAAACACCCATCTACAGCCGCACACTTTGACCAATGTGACAACATTAGCAACTCCATTAGTCATTAAAATTGTACTTCTTATAAATTATTACTACCTCCGTCCCAAAAAGATTGATACATTTTGACTTTTCTTAGTCAATGGTGGTAATGTTTAGACAATGATTTTAGGTATTATATTTGTTTGTAATTTATAAATTTTAAACTTTTATGTAAGATTTTTTAATAAAGAATATGTTCATATAATTTTCATATTTTAAATAATTTTGTATTAAAAGATATCATTGGTCAAACTTAACCATCATTTCCTAATGTGCATTTGATGTTCTTTCATTCATTTATAAACACAGAAAAACTATGAACACCTAAAATAGAGGGTTTTTAATTGTTATTCCAATGTAATACATGCATAGCATAGGGAAAGGTTGATCTGACTTTCACTTTTGGGAGACCAAATGTACGTCTACTAGTAGTCTAGTATGATGTATAGTTAAGTCATCCCACATTGTCTAGATATACATAATAATACAAATCAACCATTTATTCTATAATGTTGACTTTTTAGGGAGGAATTCAAAATCTTGATAATATCATCTAATTTAACTGAAATCTGATGTTACATTTCAAACGATTTATCTGTAAAAGCTACGGTCTGGGGTACCAAATTTTAAAGCCTCTTATATTCTTGTGGCAGGTGGTCAAATGAAACTTCTAAATGAACATTTATAGTTTCATTGGAACTCCTGATGCGTCATATCAGATTATCAGCTAGTTCATTGAATTATTTGAATTTAAATCCACTGGAAATAACTTGATGCTCTGAACTAAATGCTATCAAAAGTGGAGTTTCTTGTGTTATGGGAAAAAGATCTATACTTTATGAATGTAATAATGTATCCTATAGGATTTGCGAGGCCATTGTGTTGTGATGAATTTGCTAATATGGACCTATAGACACTGATAATCTGCACATATATTCTTTGTGGAATTTAAAAGAGATTATTCAATGAGGGGGATTCCTTACATTATGCATAGTGTTCAATCAAATTGAATGACCTCAGAAATGGGTGGAATCAAAGTTTTCTTGGATGAATAATATGCCTTCAGAAATGTATCCCATGGTATAAGATAATTCCTGTTTGTAAAGTATCAGTTCGGTCCTGTGGACGTGATTTGGGTCAAATCTGTTTAGGGTATATTACAATAATGTCATGTATACTTTGTTTATCAAGTTTTGTGTATTTTTTGTAATATAAGTATAGCATCTTAATAAAAGAGGTTTTTCCCAACATATTACTAATAGAAATTTTATAGACGAAAATGTTACTAAGTCATTATGGATATACTCTTATAGATTACTGTGAATGAGTCTAATGATGGCAACATAAAAGATAATTTTGTTTCATGGAACCTCCAATTGCCTTATATACTAATCTATAAAAAGTTAGCTCATTAAGGTATTTTTGTTAAATTCCACAAGGCATTACATCATGTATATGCTCCTAAACGTAATAAAACTACATTTTGTTGCATCTTTTTGGAAAACAGTCTCTTTCAACTAGCTTAAAGAGTCTTTTGTGTTTTATTGAAACTCCTCGTCTCCTGAGCCTAAAAAATGTCAACATATTCATTGAATTAGTGCACCTGGATGCTATTACATATTCCAAGTATAAAAAGTAGAGTTTGCCAAGCACCTTGTGCTTCGATTGCTTCGATGATATTATTATTACTCTAACACTTCCAAGGAGAAGTTTACAGATTCGAAACTCATCTCAATCAAGAATGTAGATATTTAACATAACATATAATATTGTCTATAATGTGTAATATAGTACAACAAAAAATAAAATGGGGTTCACACATAACCCTAAAGTAGAGAGCGAAAGTTCACTTTGTGTTTGTGCGGCCATTCCCTCACGCAGGGTTTGGTTTTTCCCCAAATGTTCTAGGCTAGGCATGGTCTGGGCCTGGGTCGGCCCGGGCTCCGGAACGGGTCGGGGCGAGACTGGGGTTTTGGGATGAAGGCCCTGTACCGGCCCGGGTTGGTGCTGGGGCTGGGTCAAGTCGGGTTAGGTCTAAGTTTTTTTTATATTTGTTTCTTCGAATTTATTCCTCCCCTCACTCCCAAACTGTAATACCCGAGATTAATTTAAGAGGATTAATAGGACTACTCATACCAATAGAGGTGCATATCCTTTTAAGGGAGCTCATTGACCAAGAACTACAAAGTAGTTGGGATGGGTACCCCTGGGAAGTTTCTCAGGGCGCGCACGAGTGAGGACAAAGTGCGCGGTAAAGGCTCGTGATGGTTTGTGAGGACAGTACTAGAGATTTGGAGGGTGTTTTTGAGTAACTACCTCGGGGCCTACGGGGTCGGGGTGTTACACCCCCCAAACCACCCAGTCCCACCCACTTAGCAACCAATGACTGAGAAAAAACATTGGGCCTGGACCGATCTCGGATCGGCTGGACCGGTTCACATTTTGCAAGGCCCGTAACCCACCCCTCTTCCACCCGGTTCGGGCCCCCAGTCCCGGTCCCGGTATCGCTCAAGCGGGTCGGGCCAGGGCCGCATAGTACCGCGCCGGACCGGGTCTCGGGTCGGGCTGACCCGCCACAGTCCATCCCTATTTCTAGGTTTGTGTGGCCAGAGAATTTCAGCCTCGCGCATCGTGCAGGCTTTGTTTTTGTTCACAGGTTCGTCTTCAACTGCTCAACACGGTAAGAAGAATTCATGGAGTCCATTGCTAACCAGTACGACACTTGGTCACACGGTGACTTCTCCTACACTTTTGATTGCTCAGGAGCAGAGGATGTTATGAATAAGGAGAAAGGAGATGAAGAAGATGCAGTATTGTCAGTCCGTTCCCCTCCCGAACCGCCGCCGTGAAAGAATCTTGTGTTTAGGGTTTGGAAGATGATGTTTCAAGTTTGGATTTATTTTAATCATCATGCTCTTATTTTTATTTTTTGTTTCGAACTGAATGTTGTTTTGATTTTTT